CAATAATCTCATAGCGTTCCGCGGGCTCTAGGAAAAGTTTCGCTTGTTCTGGCGTGGACTGATTTCTGAGGGTCACCTAAACAATTTATAATACAATTAATTAGCCATGACACCGGAACGCGCTCCCAGAGACATATCACAAAGAGAAATCTTACTAAGAACATGCTCGCATGGAGTGCGTAAGGGGTGGGTTCGCTGAGAAGGTCATTAGCCATGATGAATTCGTCGTCTGTCCATTTGTGCTGTTTCCTCAAATGTTGGATGCGCTTGGCCTTCCCAAGTGACTCTGTCAGCCGTTCTACACGGCCCATAGAAAGAATTTGCGATTTGTCAAACACTTTCTCCTTTTCCATGATGGCCAGAATTTTCTGCTGCCGGTCGAGCACATCCTTGGTATGAATCAGCTCCGCCAGCTTGTCAACAGAGACATTCGAGCTGTCCCGCTCTTGTTGTAGAAGCTCTGAGCCCTGCGGGCTGGTAGGCTTCAAAGCCTTCACCCAATCGGGGACAGGGGGCATTTTAGAAGCTTGGATGCTGTAGGAATCCCTTGCACAGATGACAACAAATGGGATACAGAACAGAGGGCGGCGGCAATGCGGGACGGAGAAAATGAAGAAGTTGGTGGTGATGGATACTCGTACACCCGCCAGTCCCAGGGATGATATAAATGGTGGCGGAACCACTCGGAGCCTGCCCGAAGAGGAAGTGCCGAGGTCTGTCGGAGAGTTTCTTCGAACAAAACAAAAATCAGCGCCTAGAGGGTTATGTACTAGTCGTAACGAGTCACAACAGGGGGAGCGCATGGTGGTGGACACAGACAGGCACTCTTCCGACACCTGTGAAGCCGAAGTGTCGAATCGGCATTTTCGTGCGTTTGGCTATTTAAGTGCTAGCCTGCATGGCACGCGGATTGACATGATCTCCCTGCTTGGGGCCGTGCTAAGCTCTCTCACAGAACACACTGAAAACAACCCTTGGGATCTTCTATTAATATCTGAGAAATGGCTTCTCTGCAGCTGCTCCAGCCTCACAGCCTGTGATGATAGAAAACCTCAAGGATTGTCAGCGGACGCCTACTACATGTTCACATGTTTCATACCTGTATATTCTTGTGTATATTTTTTGAACTCATTTCCTTACCCCCAGAATCCGGGTCTACGGGGATTCGAAAATGGGTCCCGCCACTGACAGGAGGCTCTCACATGCTTTGTATTCATTATTTATTCTCCCAGACATTAGCCTTTCATATATCAAGCTCCTTGAATAGAGCATTGGTCATTTGACTCCATCATAGATACAATTCTGTGGCCTCGGAATGTCGCCTGTGCTTGCGATGTTTGAACAGTACGGGTAGGTCTAATTGGACTTTGTGATCGGCTGGGGTTTGTTAGAATGTTCGCATTTTCCTTGTGCGACATTAACATGTATTTCACATCTCAGCATCAGTATTACTAGTGTGCAGAAACAACTTGAAATGATCGTACGGGGTGACAGATTTATTAAACCCAGCGCAGGAGAAGTCAGGTCACCATCCTTGAAAAAGCTAGATTAGGAGCATCCAGATAGGATTTTCAATTCTCGGCATTCAGTAGAGAACTGTCCTTAGACCTATCTATACTATTCTTTGTCACATCAGGGAAATAATCTTAAATATTGTTGGCGTTTAATGATGAATGCATGCACGTTAGCCGGCGGCTGGAACGCGCTTAACATGCTTGACGCTAATATAACCAATCACAGCGCCGCGCGAAGCAGAGAACATACCACAGTCCCATTTGACTTGGTTTCTGGTTCGAACTCGTCAACATCATCCCGATACCAACACGGATTCACCACAACACCAGTCAATTACGTCTTTGCTACCGCTCCTTCTACCCAGAATCCTAGGCGGGTCACTGTCTATCCCTTTCTCCCCGCAATTCTCGGCGGCATCGTCGTCGCCCGGATTCTACTTTCTCGATATTCTTGAAACGTCTCGCTCGGCCCAGTTGCATCTGATTTATAGAGCCCGATAATGCCCGCCCGACCTCCTTCTCTTCCCCTGCGGTCTCGCTGCCTTCTTCGCTCGCCACAGCATCGCCAACCCTTCTCGACGCAGAGCTCGCTCCGTAGCGCTCATGGTGACCACTACGACCCTCCAACCGGATGGCTTTGGGGAGTAAAGCCCGGCCATAAATACGTCAAGGAGGGATGGGAAGGCCTGTGGACGTATGGGTTTGTCGGTAGCCTGCTTCTTGCTGGCGTCGTGTATTCTTTCAAACCTGATACTTCGTATGTTTTTCTGCTTCTTTATTTTCACGCTTTCGACTATCAGATATTATAGGAAACTGTCACATTGCAAATCATATCGACATGCATACGCTTCAATGCTACAAAATTAGTGCGCTAGCTAATACATGTTTAATCTCCCGTTAGGATACAAACGTGGGCGCTCGAAGAAGCTAGAAGGCGACTCGAGAGGGAAGGCATCCTTGAAGACTCCGACGTTGCCCAAAAGAAATAACCCAACTGTCTGCACTCTAATCCGATGTATATAGAGCTTTCATCCTACGCGGAAGTGAAAAAGAAGAAAGCGATAAGGAGATCCTGTTCCCTATATCAATTGTCGGACATTTCACTCACAAATTCGGTATTGTGGGAAGAATGAGAGAGAGGGAGTGAAATTGTTTTTTCCCCCTTGGTTTCGAATTAGCTCTTTACGATGCATGTTTCGGGCATTGTTGCCATGTCTATTTCTTTTCGTCCTTTGTTTTGTTTTCCTTATTCTTGGCGGCATAATCAAAATTACGTTTCCAGCTGTAACTAGATCATAATTAGGGTGATGGGTCATTAGCTAAAGTGGAATTCTAAACCAAGAAGGTCCCCTACCAGCGACACGGTTGGCCCTAACTTGCCAAGGTGAGCAGGCGCGAAGTAAACGCCTGCAGACATGCCCCTAAAAGTCGTATATGGTTCATTGCGGTTGGTTGAAATGGGCCAATCTGCCACATCGTTAGGAGAGGACTCTTTGTTGGATCGCCCGCTGTGATGTAGTTGATGTAATTGTCGCAATACTCTGCAATGATAAGGAAAATCTCATGCCGGTCCTGACTTATCATCAATCGACTTACGTCGCCATTAGGTTAGAATATATATTTCAAGCATCTCAAAAGAAGGGAATGGATATACAGTACCGATATCTCCCGTCCTGTGATAGCTGGTCTGGTTCTGATCGAATCCAAGCAGCCATCTGAGTGCTCTCTTGCCATTGGGGGCGGTGGCCTCTAAGAGACCACACTATAGCCCCACCATGAATGGCCATATGTCGGGCCAGAAGTGAATGCGCAGTTTTGCAAACTGAGTATTTTCAAGAGTTGCCATTTGGATCCTGTTTCTTTCCCACTGTGTATATATAGAGATCTCTCCAGATTAGCACGTCCTCATACCCTTCGGGAGGCTTTCGGGGCGCGGGCGCTGCGCGCTCCCCCCGGGACGTCAAATTTATACATACATACATACATCTTGCCATTGGGGTTGTGAGCCTTTCCTCATACCGGCCTTGACCTCTAAAATCGCTAGGGACTTTTCACCAAACCATTATTGAAGCGAAGATGGCCATCTGTCCTTACTTCGTAAATTTTTTTCTCCGTTGTCCCGGGTTTTAAAGATGAACGTCTTTCGCTCCATGGTCCATGCCATGTCTAGAGTGGGATTGCTTAAGCACACTGCCTTGATAAGCAATGGAAGGGCAGTAGTAACGGTTTGTTCATCATCCGCTGGAGGGAATTGGTCGCTGTTCCCTGCAGACATTGGGGAGCGAGGGCTTATGTATACTTCGCTCGAGAATGACGACGGAATTGGGTCCGACTCCTCGCTGCCGATGTCGAAGTTACTAAATCTTTCATCTAAGTCTTCTAGTGGGATTGTACGGCTTCTCGACAGATCCCGGTATCTCAGAACGATTGGCGAGCGGATTTTACTCGGGCCACCTCTCGGATTTTTTATGTAATCTATCTGCCTTTTGGAAAACCAACAGTAAATCGTATCTGCCAAAAGAAAGAGTAGCCCCCATGCAAGATTGAGCCTTTGTGGTATAGGCTACCCAGTCTGGAATATTTTCCAGGAGCCTTCGAGCATCGGCAGCATCTAAGCCCCAGCGTTTAAGATTGAAATCATTAGCCCGTTTCGTCTTCCATATCATGCGCAGTGCTAATTTAGAGCCGGATTGAAAGTTGAGTTCGTTTATGGATGTTGCCTCAACCCGCTGCTTGCGCGCATCCTTTGACCATTCAAAACGGTTTGAATGGAAGAGCATAGTGGGGTACCCATCCGTGAGGTTTGCGTCAAATGAGGAAAATTCAAAAACGTGCGCGGTGTTGTATAATGCAAACGAAGGGGTTAATCGCATAATCCTTCATTTGAGACGACGATCGAAGAATAGGCAGTGCCATAATAATAAACAAGTTTCAACATTTCTGGGACACACCGTTCTGCCCTGCCTCTTGCAACCGCAGTTTCCAGTCATTTTTGTTCACTTAGGGAGTGAGCTGTCGCCTATGCCTGTTGTTGTTGTGTTTGGCAAGGAGGCACAACCTAAGCCGCCCTGGAGACTTCGTGTGCCAGCCAGACCATTCCGTCGCTCAGGGACTGAGCTGCGGAGACGCCGGGGCTTGGAGATTGGGGTGGATGGCGTAGTAGCAAACGCTGTTCATGGAATGCTCCCTCAAGTAGGCGCTTGGTGTTGGGTCCATCATTGCGGAGACAAGAAGGTGGTGGGTTAAAATCCCACCCTCTCCAAAAGGATATTATCACATCTTGATGAATAGTTATTGGGGTACCCTTTCTTATCTCATTTCTATTTGTGACTACCACTGCAGGGTCTAGATGAATTCGATAGTGTGGGAGTCTAAGATATTGCGATCCTTAGTTAACTTAACTAACTACATGTCTAGTTCAAGCATGAAGGACAACAACAACAGCAGCAGCAGCAGCAGCAGCAACAGGTGGGCCATTGGTGCCGCTTGCAATTCCAGGGTACCAAAATATCCAAAATTCATATATTCACAGAATATTTATAAATATCATCATTACCTAGTATCCTTCAAACACGGGTAAATAATACCTTTATCATCATATTCAAGTAAAAGAGATGCAGAGATAAATGTCGGCCCTTCAATTCACCGACGTGAATGATAACTTAAAACTACACCACGTGATATAAACCTCCAGAGCGGGAAATAAAAAATTAGTGGGTGACTTTACTTCTTGTGACAAGCAAAATCCACCCGTGGACAGTTTTTCCATTGGATTGTGAGGCTTATCGACGTAAGTATTCGTTCCGAAATTTAGAACCACTGGAAAAATCCTAACGAACCAAGTAGGAGCTGTCTCTGTTCACGTCGTCGCACCTCGCTACTAGTACTCTTGAATATTGGAGCTCTGGGAAGCTCGACATTAATTTCAAAATTGCCCCGATTACTTGACAAGAGCGTAATTCCTGATTCACTGTACCTTATGTGGGGACCGGGGGCTCCATTACGATTTCAAGATGAAAAGCTTACGGAGGGATCACTCTTCGAACCCGCTATCCTCTAATGTTTCAAGTAAAATCTATGTAAGATCGACAAAGAGCGGCAAGGTCCAGAAGATTGTTAGAGAGTTGTACCTGAGACAGGACATCCCATGTTCTTCAAAGATATGTTCTGTGTGTCTGTCATATGCGCCAACCGATGCCAACGGAAATGGTGAGAGACCACTCAACGGCTGGGACTTCTGACTTTTAATGCTAATTATACTAAGTAACTCCATTTGTGCTATCTGAGCGGCCGGCTGGTACAAAGTCATTCGCCCAAGGCCATTATTTACTTCCGGATACGAATGCGCTCCTCAATGGCATGGATCGTGGG